GGGCGAAAATAAAATTAAAGATGAGTCTGGACTAAATAAACCATTTATCTGCATTTACATCCAAATAAACATCCATTGATTTCATTGCTTTCTTCTTCAAAAAAAAAATGCAATTTTAAGTTTTTGCATACACATGGTTTCAATGGGCCATATATAGACCAATGTTTTTATGGAGGCTAGTCTTCCAAAGTTCAGCCTTACTTTCAAGTGATTTGCGTAAGTTTGCAGGTTGAGACATGTAACTTGGACACCATAACTGCAGCATAACTGTAAACCTGCTGAAATGAATCAGAGAGGAACCCTATGGTTCTTACAATCTTGACAGATGAGTAATGGCAGACATGTTTCTCTTAAATTAAGCTATTTGCATTACTTGCCATATGCTAAACAAATATATATTTGCATTACCAATTTTCTTCTGTGTAAAGCTGCAAGTGCTGGGTATGTTCTGGATTGGTGATTCTTAAGTTTGCTAGACTGAGTGCTTATAATGGAGACACTTGAGGAGTTCTGTGCAAATTTTTTAGGAGTTACAGGCTTGGTTCTAACGTTATACAATGTGCTTAAATCAAAATGCATTTATGATTTTGTTTTTGCAAATGCACCCAGGCATAAGATCATAAGGCAGACAAGACTTTCTGCTATGATTAGTGAAGTTAAGATGAGATCTTTAGCAGAGACCCATCACTGATAGGCATTAAAATTGTGGGAATTTCCCATCAACTCAAGCCTGAGCCACAAGAGCTGTTAGTTTAAAGTTTCATTTTGCATTTTATGACAAAATCATGATAGCTGTGTATTTTCACTGTGTGCAGGACTACGGTATTTGTCTGCTATACTATGAAGATCCAATTTGGAGTAGTGATTAAGGCACCAAGCTAGAAATTGGGAGATCCTGCATTCTAGTCCTACTTTATGCACAAAACCAGTCATTTTTTGGGCCAGTCATTTTTTCTCAGCCCCAGAAAACAAGCAATGACAAACCACTTTAAAAAAAAAAAAAAAGTTGCCAAACTGCAGGTACCAGTTCAGGCAGTTGCCGGGAGTCAAGATTGACCTGAAGGCATGAACACCCCCTTCCCCCCAAAAAAACCCCATGAAGTAATTGGTAGAGTTAGTTTGGAGATAAATATTAAAGGGAACAAAGTGTGAAAATCATTTGTTTGTCAGCACATGCAGGGTAAAAAGGAGTAACTGGTTTGGGACAGCTTTATGAATTGATTCACATATTGTGCAAGACATGGTCTGTTTGGTGCTTGTTTAGTAATATATGAATCCAGCTATTGATGCATAAACCATGATTTGTGACTTGGTATGATACAAAAGAAGAGTCAATTGTGGTTCATTGAGACAATGGCTTAATAGAAGTCCAGTTGATGAGAACTATTTATCTTCAAATATGATGCTGACACAGGTAAACATATTCCAGAAATTTTGAAATTGGATTAAAAGCTAATTTTCTATAGAATCCACAAGTAGACCACACAAATTGTCACACTTTTGATTTTATATTGGATGAACAGCAAATAGATGGAAATATACAAAATCTGAATTTCATAGTTGAGGTTGGGATTCAAGTTGAAATAACAGATCTTAAATAAGGCAATTAAAAGGTATAATATCAAGCTTTCCAATGTTAGGCTTGTAACACATGGCTGAAGTACATTTAATTCTTCTGAATTTTTTTTTACATATAATGTAGCAATTAGAAATATCGTAATTTTTTTTTAAAAAAGTGAACATGGAAAAAATTCTGTATTCATTTGAAAACTACAGTAGCCTATTACAGCCTACAGAAAACTAAAGCACTGCAACATTCATTCAGATCTATTTTAAGGCTACTAAATCAGGGTGCAAAAATCTGAATGACTAGTAGTTGGTAGTAACAACTGGCTGGATGTCTTTGGGCCAGTCCCTCTCTCTTAACCCATCCTATCTCATGGGGTTGTTATTGTGGGGGAAATAGGAGGAGGAAGTATTAGGTATGCTTATCACCTTTGAATTATTTATCAATAATAAAGGCTGGGGGAAAAAAATCAAACAAACAAGATACCAAAAGTCTTGTTCCTGCCCTTTTGTAGCATTTTTGCAACCAGGTTTATTAGCCCTATTATATTTCCCAAGTTTTTCTTTATGCCAATAATATTTTCAGAGGTATTTTTATGAAGTAAACTTGGCTGTTTAGGCCCTGCAGCATAGTCAATCCAATGGAAAGCTCTCCTTACAAGCAACATCTCTTGGAAAGATGAATATTACACTTTTCTTTAAAATATTCACCTTCTGATGATATTCATATGGAACAGATTATGCAAAAAAGTGTATTTTAACAAAGATGTTTGACCTTTGACTAGTATATGGAATTATACAGCTAACAGGTTTACATAAGCCTCTTTTTTCTCTCTCTTTAAGAAGCAAACTGAAAAGTTTTATTTAAAGTACAATAGGTGGAAAGCAGTCAATAAATGCATCCCAGATTATTGTGCTTGCATTATGAAATACTATCTTACTAATCAAAAGAATCAGGATGAGTGATCTAAATTGTAAAAGATACAGCAATGCAATATAACCCTCAATATATGAAAAAATCCAGAACTTTTTGAATGACTTAAAGCTTCCAAACATTTTCCTTTTAGCACTGCAAGGATTTCAGCTTCTACAGTTATGAAGTTTCTCCCATTTATATCTGAGTGAGAAACTTATGACCCTCTTAAATGTTGCAAAACTACAAACCCCACATCTCTGTGTAGATCAGTGCTACCTGCATACTATCTGCAATAGATAGTATATTTGCACTATGCTACATGGAAAAGAATATATGCCTAGAATCTAAAGAGATGACTTTGGGTCATTTCTCTCTCAGCCCAACTCACATCACAAGGTTGTTTTGTGTAAATAGGAAGCAACAGCATGTACACCTCTCAAGTTGACAAAAAATAAAGATGGGATATAATAAACTACTTTACATCTTGATACGATAATCCTGATTTTTTTTCAATAACATGAAGTGTTGAACAGTTGAACAGAAAGACATAATTATTAGGGAAGTAAAAAAAAAAGGAATGTGAGCACCTGTGTGTCTTATGTTTTAGCACTTTTAGGCCCAATTTTTATTTTCTGCTAAAGCGTGTAGCTGCCAATTACAGATAGATTACTAAGAATACAATCTGTGAAATCTAACTAAATCAGATAGCATCAATAGGGACACCCAGTTTACACTAATCTGATTAACTAGTGCAAGCCTCTGGTTTTGAGAAAACCTCTAATCCCCAAAAGCACTTTTTCAGAAGTTTGGAAGGGGTCAACAGCATCCAGTCTGCACAAGCTGAATAATGTTTTGAAGAATTCAAATTTGTAGTTTTAATATCCAATCTATGTGGGTGTGATAGTTAAATAATGAATTCAAACATATGTTATAGACTAATCTGAAAGTGGAAAAAATCTCTGCATTTTAAGTGTAAAACTCCTTTACATGCTGTCTCAACTTTTTGAGTACTAATTATATTTTTCTGAAATCTAACAAGATAGTATATAAATTACATGTTCTTAGGCCTTAGAATATTTTAATTGAGCTGGCAGATTTGGACTCAAAAGTACAGATAACTACAAGACAGAAGCCCAAATATTGCCTATTGTCATATGTCAATATCATTTGAGGTTTTGCAGCAGTTCTAGTAGCCTTAGTTCTAGGGTTTCTTTTATAGTATGTTTAGCACAATATATTGTATCATTACACAAATTATATTACTCGCAATAATTACTTCATTTAATATAACTCTTATCTTTACTGTGGTCATAGATTACTATGCTAAACAGATGAAGTACAAAAAGTGAAACTGGAGGAAAAGCTTACAAGTTTGTTTCAGATAGGCTCAGCCTTTCACAATATATATAGAGAGAGCCGAGAGGGAAAACAATTTGTTCTAGAATGTAAGTTTGATCCAAAGAACTTTATTACAAAGGGACTCTGAAGGGTTTTTAATCTCGATGCACATTTTGGGCAGTCATAAACATTAAAATTTTGAATTAAAAACATTGGGCTATGTGGAACTCTAGAAACAGAGGAAGAACGGCAGAGACTGCAGCTCTAACTTGACCAGGCTGCCCGAACCCCGTCCACACTGCCAAGGAACTCCCTGCAGGAGAGGGGCGGGAAAATGCAAGCGGGTTTTGGGGCTGGGCCGCCAAACTTTCTTACCTAGGGCTAGGTGGCCAAGTAGCGTTGGGGGAGGAAGTTGGAGGGTAAGAGAAGCTGGAGGAAAAACGGGGTTGACTGCCAGGGCAAACCCCTGCTCCCGAGTCACCACTGCAGCCGAAAGGGATACCCGCGGCCGAAGTTAAACCAGCCGAGGTTAGGCAGGGCGGCGGCCCACGCCAGGACTCGGGAGCCTTCTCACCGCCGGAGAAGAGTAAGGGGCCTCCCGCGCCGCCACGCCAACATGAGGAAGACGGCCGGGAACGATCGCCCAGGGCCGCTTCTCCTGCAGGCGCGGAGGTCAAGAGGGCGGCGGTGGCGGGAGAGCAGGATTCCCGCTACTGCCCCCTCCCCGGAATCCTGGACGGCCGCCGAATCGTCCCCTCCCCGTGGAGAAAGCGTGGCGGCGGCGGCGCCGTTCCCTCCGCTGCCCGCTCGCCGTCTCCATCCGCCATTATTCTTTGTTCCTCGCGCGGGCCGGCGGCGGCTGGGCTCGGCGGGAGAGGAGCGGCTGAGGGGAAAGAGGCGCCTCCATTTTAAATTAAGGCCACCCCGAGGCGGAGGGGGAGACGACCCGGCGCTGCTGGGGTCGCCAGGCCGAAGCTCGGCTCTCCTTCCTTCTCTCTCGCTCTCCCCGACTACCGTCTCCCCCCCGCCCCAATACCCGCCCGCGAGGCAACCCCGCCTCAACGGCCGCGCCGCTGCTGGTACTGGTGGTGGCGGCGGCCCTGTGGCTGCCGCCCCTCCCTGTTTTTCTTCTCGGGCTGTTAGTCGCCTTCCTTCCTTCTCTTTGCTTTTCTCCTCTTACCGGCTACAGGCTGCTCCGTCACTGCTTTCGTTCGCGCCTAGGCTCTCGCCGCAGTTTTATTCTCTCCCCCACGTAACACACCGCGTCAAACTACACCTCCGCCGCGTCACTCACATAACACACACACGCTCTCTCAGGCTCTCCCAGCCCCGGCGACAGGCAGGCAGCAGCGGCCGACTGAGAGGGAGAGAGAGGAGCCAGCCAGGGAGCAAGCGCCGCAGAGCATGCCTCGGCTCTCCTCCGCCCCCGCCCTGCGCACGCCCCCTCCCTCCTCTCTGTGCACGGAAAGAACCGAACGGCCCCCACGGAAATGCCCGAAGGGGCTGAGCGGCCGCGGCGGAAAAGAACGACCGGCAGACTGCCCGCGGAGTGGCGCGGAGGGTGGGGTGGGGAGTAACTCCTGCTGTTAAAGCGGAAACGATCGGAAGACATTTTAGTTGCTCAGCCTGACCGAGGAAGCGCAGATCCACGTTCATGATCCAAGAAAAGGGCAGGGCTACGAGGAAGAGCACGCCTCTCGGGCTGCTTGCTTTCTTGGCAGAGAGGAATGGCCCTCGCTTTGCCCAGTAACCCTCCGCCACTTCCGTGGTAAGGGAAACGGAGGTTGTGTGTTAATGCCAGGGGCTCAAATTTCCGAAAGGAAACGAGTACGGCGAATACTGTAAGGGAGCGGCAGGAAGAGCAAAGCCGGGGAGAATTTAGGGTAGAAAGCCAGGCAGGCGGAGGGAGATTGCGATTCTGCCTGGATGGAAATTGGACACTTTTGCAAAAGCGCGCCAGGACTTGGAAATGCAAACAGCAACAGAATGCTTGAACGATTTTTTTTAAAAGAAAGATGGTCGCACGTGAGGAAATAGAAAAGATTTTTGGTAGGGGGAGAAACGTGTTTGTCTATGGTAGCAAAGAATCAGGTGTCTGGAAGCAACTGTTCCGTTTTATTTTTATAAAATGCACCTTTAAATTTTTTATTTTAAAAATGATTACATATTTAGCAAAATGTGCTGGAAAAAGTGCTAATCCATTTCCCTCATTCTTGAATCTGGCCGAAATTAAGACAAAACCCTACTGACCAGTTCAAAAAAAGTATCTCAGTGGTAAACTGGGCTTGCACCGATTTCCACCATGAGTGAGTTTCAGAAGGCATTTTTTTGTGATCCCACAGTGATTCCTGAAAAAGAATAACTTGTTTTTCCATACGTACCAAACACGTTATCATTCCATAATAATAAAATTTCATTTCATACAAATAATAAAAAATCATTCCATACGTTACAGGAATATCTAAAATATTCCTGCAACAGTATTGAAATGTAGGAGAACAAACCCATAAGGATAAGATTCAGCAGTCCATCTGCATTTGAAAGACAAAAGCCACTCTTGAAGACAGCAGTCTGGACAGAGAGGACTGCAAATTGAACAACAGGGGGAGTGATACGACACCTATCTATCTCCTGTTTACAACAGTCCTTTCTGTATTTCCTAAAAGGCTCCACACCCACTTGCACTATTCAGGTGACCTTGAGGGCACAGATAAACTTCCAAGTGGCCTCAACAATTCTCAGAATGCTAGCAACCAGATAACCACAAGGAATATAAATCCTTCCATTTCTCAACATTCAGTCAGAACTGAAGAAGCTTTTTGGATACGAAGCAAAATGTCTTCAAGGAAAATAAAATCCAGTTGCCTCTTAAAAAACACTTTTGGGACAACTACCAGTATGACCTGGATGACTGAGAATCTCCATAAACATGAAGAGTGAGTCTTTGGGGAAGGATATTCCACAAAGCAGGTACAGAAGCAGCAGGTGCAATCCTCCATCCACTTAACCTTTTGAAAATGGACAACCACTAAAATGTCATTTATCTTGAGCAGATTGAATGGTCTGTAGATGCTTCAGAGGAAGAAGTGCCAAGAATGTGGTGGAAGATTTTAACATGACTTTCTAGTAATTTTTTGTTTTCAGCCTGCCCCTCTTAAAAAAAACTGGACTTCCCAGTTACTCAGCAGGTTAACCCAGTGGTCTTCCAGTTGCAGTTGCCTGCTTCAATGAAGATTTATTTGGTATTCTGTCACGCTGCTACTTGTTTGTGAGGAACCTCCCTGCCACTTGCATTCTATCACTGCCCCTCTTTCCTCCACTTTCCCATTTGCTCTGTTCTGGTCCAGGGAAGGAGAATGTGAAATGGAATGTATTCTTGCTTTAGGATGCAGAAGGAAATGTTTGGAATATTTGATTCACTGAAAAAGGAGCGAATCTGAGAAGTTGTGAGAAGGTGCAACAGATGTCCCATGCTCCATGAATTGTACATCACTTTCATCAGAAATTTCTGCATGAGCTTAATTTCCACGATCTTCCACAATTATCAATAGACAATGATACAGAGGATTCCCTTATTTTCAGTATAGGGTGATGTGCACAGGAGATTTTCCAATTCTGGCCAATCCTACATGGCAAGATTTACTTCTTGACCTCAGGGATTTGCCCAGCAAGGTGGAGAAGTAAGTCTGATAGGAGAGGTGATAGGGGTATGGACATAACCTTGAGGAAACAATGCAAGTATTTTAATTAAAAGCAACTTAGCCCTGAGAAAAAAGAGAGTGAGAAAAAAGTGAAGATTTTTTTTGGGGGGTATAAGGAAAGACAGAGATAAATTTTCATCAGGCTGACAATCTGTTTTCTCTAAGATGTACACCAACCATGACCTCAATAATCTTTAAAAAGGGAAAATTATAGTCTGGGATTTAAGGATGTCTTCTTAGGGAAGGGGCAAACCATAGCTTCTTTCAAAACTGCTCTCATCAATCTCTACCATAGTGAAGTGTTGATTTCGTTGCCATGTATTTTGAGAGCCAGGAAAGTCTACAGAGTAATCTGACTGCCAACAGTTGCTAGTTCATTTAGTTCACGCTATTAATGCTATTCAGGATGCACCATAAGGAGAGGAACTAGTTTAACATCCCATAAACATAAATGCTGCTGCCCTTTAATGGTTAGATGGCCTAGACATTGGTGTCTGAATACAGGTCTTTTTAACTGTTAGAAGTAAATCTTCATCCTGGTTCATCCAAGCCGGGAATATTATCATTATTATTATTAAATAAGCAACATGGTGACTGCTTTGGGAAGATGGTTATAGTTTATTGCAGAAGCAGAAAGATGGCTCTTCAGGAAAGAGCAGAGAAGAAAGAGAAAGAGCACATGGCCAGTAGCTGTTTTTATACCCTCCCTAGCTT